AGAAGAATAAGAAGAAAATGGAGACTTGTAGAAAATGGCAAGATAAACAGAGCCACAGGCACAGGGAATATATTATAATAGTTAAATTAAGGCACTTTATTTTTTTTTTAAAAAAAATATATGTAGTGGGGTTGTTAACTTGTTATTGGTTGGGGGAGTTGAGTAGTTTTTAAAGGCAAATCATCAATAACGAACAAGGGTTGAGTTAAGTGGTAAGCAATTTGACGATGCTTAAGTAAAGTCTCGAGTTCAAGCTCTTGTGAATGCAGAAAATCTTTGGTGGGAGACTTATCCATCTGCCAGGTGTGCAATCTGAGTTGACCAACAGATTAGTCGGAGCATAACTGCAGATACCGTGGCTGGCAAAAAAAAAGGCAAATCAAGAAAATAAATTAACAAAAAAGTGGAAAGGTTTATTAGTAATATTATTTTAGCAATAACTTGTTTGGGCTATAAGAAGTATGGAGAGATGTCTAGGATTTCTATTTTCTTTTCTTTTTAATTTTTTTTTTTAGGGTGCAAAGTGGTATTTCTTTGAGTGTGAGGACTACATGAGGAAGGGGGTTGAAGTTTTTTTTTTTTTTTTTTTTCGAAACGATAGATGTATTATAAATCAAAAAGCACAAATGTGCGAATACACAGCAGTCAACGGCTGAACACACAACAACCAACAGTTGAAGGGGGTTGAAGTTAGGGGGAATTAGTTTAGGGTGTAAAGTAGTAGTTTTCTATTTGTTTGTTGTGGACCGCCTGACAAAAAAATGGGGAGAATGAGATTTTTTTAAACTTATTGGAATATTATTGTAATTTTATGGTGTGAATTTTTGAAAACAATAAGATTTTAACCATTAAATATCGAGGAAAATGAGTCTTCTATACTTTTCTTGGCAAAGTTGTAATGTGTGTGTGGTGGAAGTTAGGGGTGTAAATGTAAAAATTCTATAGAGTTATCGAATGATTTTATTATGGGGACATCCACTACTTATGATATTGACACATGTCTAAATTGTATATATTGTAAGACACGTGTCAACACACTCTTGGTGAATAAGTGTGGATGTCTCCATAAGTTGAGCTATTCGATGGCTCCATAGCAAAACTGGGTATAAATGAACTATTTCAAGCTTTTAACACATTTTATAGAGATTTCGCGTTAAAAACGTTGTTATAATTGAACAATTTATCTTTCTACGATGATTAATAGTCACCTTATATATATAGAGTAATGATATGTGTACATAATAAATGTACATAGAGTTGTACATAACACTCACATAAAGTTGGGTACTTAATATACATAATAATCAGTCATAACGTGCACCATATAAACTTATCCGGTACTTATTCAGTTACTCAAAATGTAATTGCATTAAAGTATCAATTCTACGTACATAAGTATTTTTTTTAAATGATATAACTTTTTTAGACCGCTTAATGGTCAGACAATTATATTTTTTTCAATAAATTACATATTTTTTAAGTGTAAAATGTCATGTTTTTAAATACTATATAGATAAAATTATAATATATCACGATATAAACATAATATAATGGAAAATGAAGTTCAAATATATGTAGTCTAGATACCGTGTCTAAAGCTTCTAGTCTTCTAGAAGAAAATGAATTTATAACCTAGGTTATATATGTTGTCTAGATACCATCGTACGAAAAGGTGGCACTCGATCATATGCTTCTTGTTTCTTTCTTAAGTCGGTCTTTGTGGGCAAAATTTATGTGTCATGATCAGTAAAGTTTTGTGAAGAAACTCATTCAATTATCTTCTAACACGTGTCATTTTAGTCAAATTACATTGAATTGTATTGCTAGTTCAACACGACATTGTGTTTGTGTTAGGCCACCATGAATTATTGAAGCACCATACAAAAAATATATTATTGATGCTTTGTTTTGTTTTATTTTTATTTTTATTTTTTTTTTCTTGAAATATAACTATTATTTTTGGGATCCGATGTTGGTGAGGCACTTGGATATTAAGCCGAACGATGAGGATGGCGACTGTGTGGTAGAGCGGCCGCCTTACCCTTTCCCTTCGACGCCATCAAACAAAAAGAAAAATACAGAACAAGGAAATAGATTAAAGCCAACAACAAAGCTTACCAAGGAATCAACGAACAGACAATCACGCACAAAGAACAAATCTCAAGTTTGTAGAAGAATTTCGATAGCAATTTGCAAGAATTCAAAAATGAAAGAGAAGCGAAGAAAGTTCGATTAAAACCCTCAGTACCCTATTTATAAGCCCTAATTTCTGGCCGTTAAATTGAAGGCACGTGTAACCGACGCGACCTCTCCTCTCAAACGGTGCAACCAAGTGGCCGTTATTTTATTAAAGTAGCCATTATTATATTTACGACCATCACGGCGCGACCTTTCGCACTCTTCATTAAATGCCCGACCGTTACGTCTCTTCAGATCTTTTCCTACACTGCCCAGATCTGGCACAAATTTTCGCCAAGTGTTCTTACCTCGGAAATTAATCTTCATATCGGAATACACAAACCCACTTCGGTTATTTCGCATGTACCAGCACCTCAAAACGAACACTTCCTCCCTATAGCTCATTACCAAGTCGGAATCTCAATTCATCTTGCAGTATCGACGGACATCACTTCGTATGCCCGCCGATACTGGGGGCCTCTATGTTATCACCCAACTCGGTAAGGCGAAGTTAGAAACCTCGGACTGCGTATTAAGTGGATTATTACCAGCAATGACATGACCGACAATTATCCAGTCCATATACCGAATCGACCAAATTATAGAAGACCGAGGTGACCCTCATAACCGAGGTCATCCCAGAATCGAAGTCGCTATGAACCGAGATCACCACCTCCTAAGCTGGTGACAAGGCGCCTACACACCACCTTCACAAACCACGAGATCAAGTGAGACCCGCTGACAAATGCCGCCCGTCAAAAGTAGCTTTATGAAAAAAGTAACGCACGAATCCCGATATGTATCCCAAAAAGTTACTATAAATAACGAACTCCTGATATTTGTACGGGATTCGATCCCTGAACAAAATTTCAATCATGAAACATGAAACAGCTCACAGAAGCTTTCCACCTCGGTTCACCTCGAACCAGGGCCATTGTTGAGTTTTTATTGCATGTCTTACGTTCAAATCACTAAAATCAATCAATTAAATCTACTTTCAATCGTTGTTAACAATCGTATAACAACAGATTGTTAGAAACAAAAATTTTTGAGATGCTTTGTTAAGGATTGAACTCAGGATTAACAAAATATATTTTTAGTCCCTATATTTAGACTCGTTAGAATTGGAAAAGTAAAAATTATTCTACTTAATTTTTAACATAATTTATCTCGTTAAGATTTGAACTCGACTAGTGAAAGTTTGTTAACGAGTCTAGCTCGAATTATCGGCTCGTTAAGTTAAAATAGTTGAAATCTAAGTATAATTAACTAGCTCGATTGGTTTATATCTCTAGTTAGAATTATCGAGGTCATATATTCACATGGGAGACAATATAATTAGAGCTCCTTTTTTTTTCCAAGGCAAATAAGCAAACTTCATAAAACTCAAAACAAAGTTCCGGTAACCAAATGGCTACAACCTTACAAGTCCAACATAATCAGACCCTCCCAGCACGACCTAGGAAGACCTAGACCTAAAAGGCAACAAGCCTCCAAAGAGAAAAAACAAGACACCAACAATTAAAAGGAAGTACCAATAGAGACATTACAATAATCCATCAATTCCTTAATACAAGCCAAGTCTGAACATAAACCTGCTTGAGACCTAAGGCTATCAGACAAATAGGCCACCAAATCAGCAGAGTGCAGCAACAAAACAAAATTACTACATCTGTTATCCTTAGCCATAGTTAGACCCCAAGCAATTGCCATCAACCAACATTCTCTCCCATGCACAGCAGCTTGAAAAGTTTCTTGCCACTGGTATTGTTGAATTCCTTGTTGGTAGAAGAAACAGTCCACAAGAACCCCACCATCAGTGAAAGCTGAAGCACTGAGAGTCATAAATGACTGACCTACCCCTTGGAAAACTCATCCAACTGAGGTTGTTCCTGTGGTTGCCCCTCAGAAGTACCCAGGCAGACTGCAGTAGTTGATGTCCATTCTACCCACTCATGCTTGGCCTCCTCCACAATCTGAAGATCATGGATCCAATCACCCTTATACAGCCATTTATTCCTAGCCTTCCACAAGTGCTACATCAAGAAAGCAAATAATCCTAACCTCTCTTCTTTCATCATCATATGTTTAGCACAACAATTATTAAGACCACACATAATTAGCGCTCCTTCACTTAAAACATTTCTTCAATAAAGAAAAGACGTTACTAAATACCACTTCTCTTTTTACTATTTACCTCTTTGAACCATTTTGTCTCTAATATTTTTTTGTTAAAAAGCGCACCGCGGTCGGCCGACCAGCGATTGCGGCC